TACGGAACAAAATGCAACATAGTCGTAGAGTTTACTCATTATTCTTCCTCGGCCTCTTGAAGCCAAAAATACCAATATTACTCTTTATAATATGAGTTACTTGATGCTCTTTTCCAACGTTATAGTTGGTTTAGGACAAAAGAAAGTGTTAATGTTACTGCTCAACTCTCAATATTCAGTTAACTCAGTTGCTTTGTTTTCGCGTAGGCTTCTTCCCCGCATCCCGAAGTATGTTGAAAGTTTATTTATCCTCATTTTCGTACACGGACATCTGCACACGGCACCTATGTTTAAGAAAATAGATGTTTATGCTACTGAGTCTAGAATGTAGACATGTGAGTGTAATGCACATCACTTTGCAATTCCAATGACAATTTCATTTCTGAATTTAGTACACATCAAAGTAGTTAGGACACGGCTCACTGTAGTTTGGAAATCTTTGCAAACAAAGTAGTACCACTCGTGTCCATGTTCAGATCATCTATTGTGGCAATGCAATCAAAGTAGGCAACCTCAAAATACAAAAACATATGTTAAATCAAGGTTTCATGGGTCATATCATTTCCAACAAAATTATATCACCACCTTAGCGGTTTACTTTTTGACAAAGGTGTTGATCTCAGGCATAGTGAGTGTTTCAACCTTCATCACCTCAACTGCATTGACAGAAGAGGCAGCAGCAAGATTCTCAGAACGGAGTACATGTAATTAATGAGGCATAGATATAGGATTCAAAGTATTTGAAACCAAAGAACTAACCAAACTAAATACTCTTTGGTGGGATCCACTTCATGGGCTAAGAAAACTCTAGAAGATGACATCGAGCTTAGGGAGACCATGCAAGTGTGGACGCATCAGACACATAGAAACAAAGACAACACTGGTCTAAGGTCTTAGGAGAAACATTACTTTAAGGTCTGCAACTCCACTTTAACTACGAATTTTAAGACTTTCCTAATGATAGAGTTTAAAGAAGTATTTTAATATGCGGTTAAATTTCAGTGAAAATTTTAGTTCCATCTTAGGGCTAGGAAACTCTTGTTTTGAAAGTTTATATAATATTATAAATAACACATACACTTTGTTTCCAATCTATTAAAAAGCTCTTTGTATAATGCATTGCTCATTCGTTCAAGTGTTTTGTAATCATAAAATATTGGGGGTGATTGGTTGGGTTGTAAGTGCTGACTTTAGCTTTAATTTTTATCTACAGTACTTAAATCACCAATCATGATTTATCTTATTTTTTAAAGTTACAACAAAAAACTAAAAAAATGGTTGTAAAATCCTTATTTTCTAAAGCCACATTTTTTTGCTGTAGAAAATATGTTGCTGTAGCAATAGATTTTAAAGCTACATCTTTTACAGCTAAATCAAAAAATGCTACAGACTATTTTCTACCGTAAAACTTTTACAGCTACAGTTCAACCAATCATCCCCATTGTCTTCATTGTAAATCAATTATTAAAGTTATGGTTGTAAAATTTAAAAGGGAGGAGGATTATGTGTTGTTCCTATCAATTTATGTAACTTGAATAATAATGATGATAACAAGTTATATTTGATTAGACACAAATTTATAATTAAATAACACTTGACACAAGTTGAACATAACAAAGTTTAAACATATTACACATTTAATAGCACATAAGTTCATAAAATAAGAAGAAATAAGTTTAAAAATCTGACATTTCAAGTTTAATTATCAATAAAATCTTAATATCCGTTTTATATATGAATAAATTGCAAGTTAAAAAAAAAAAAAAAACGGAGAAGATTTCTTAAGAAGTCTGCTCTCATTAGCTGCAAACATAAATAAACAAGAATACTTCTAACCAGTTAAGTTATAATTTTATTCAGATGCTCAAATATTGACAAATACACATCAATTAACAAACAAAAATAAGAAATTTATTTTAAATATGGAGAAAACGTAAGTTTATGAAAACTAACATAGAAGTTTTCTCATGGCAGAACTCAAGAAGTCTTCTCACAGCAGATTTTTTAAGAAGTCTTCTATCCTTAACAAGAAACACAAAAACCATGAATATTGCTAACCTCATACTTATAACTAAGTTATGAATAAGGAGCTCTGTTATTGACAAATACACATGAATTAACAAAATAAAATCTTAAAATTTCACTTAAAAGTTGGAGAAAATGCAAGTTTTACAAAAATCAACAGAGAAAACTTCTTGAGAAATCTTCTTCCAGCATACTTCTCCAGAAGTCTTATGTTTATGTTATTTTTGCAATTATAAATATACAAAGGAGACTCTTAAGAAATATGCTCAGTTAGACTTCTTAAGAAGTTTTCCTTTCGGATTACTTTTGTATTCAAATTTATTTTCCATCTTTGACAAGCAGGTTAGTTTTGAAATTAATCAAAATTTTGCAAAATTTTTTTTGTCATTTTTAAAGTCTTCTTACAGTCATATGAAGTCTCTGAATTATGTGACTGTCATATGACTGTAAAAGAGTTCTCGAGAAGTCTTCTGGTAGAAGAATACTTGAGAAGTTTTTTTTTGGAAAATTAAATTTTTGCAAAATTTCGGTCAGTTGTAAACCTAATTTTCTTATCAAGAATACTTCTTGAGAAGTCTACTTGATTTTTTCTCATCGGGAAAATTTAGAATACTTCTATAAAAACACACACAAAATAGTCAATTGCAAAACCAAATTATGCATTGAGCAGAAGAATTCTTTAGAAGTTTTCTTCCCAAAATACAGATCTGAAAAATTCAAATATCATTCTTAAATTTAGTGAGATTCATGTTTAGCTTCTCCAAGAACACATAGTTTCTTAACTAAGTTATCGTTCTTGACCAAGAATCATGAACTTGAGTAACCGCAGTAAGCTTAGAACTTCTGAAATGAAAAGGTTGGGATTTTGGGATGACTTGAGAAAGAAATTGAAAGAAATATTGTTTGTGTGTGGGAGAAATGGGGATGTGAAAATGTATATGTCTATTTTTATGTGCATGTAGAGATCAGTTTTGTTTGTTAACGGTGGTTGATATATTGATTATAATGACAATTTGGTGAATAAGTGATGAAGAAGAAGATGTATGAGTAAAATAAACAATGAGCGGATGTTTTTTCAAACTTTTAAATTTTTAAATTTTTGTATATTTTTTATTTCTTACCAACTCAGGGATAACTCAAAATTGATTTACATGCCTTAAAAGAGACTATATATCTTACAAAATTTCCATAAAATATATCAAAATTAATTTACATGTTGTAAAAGTGAAAATACATATCTTTAAAAGAGAAGTCACAACTTCTCTTCATGTGTGATATTTTAAAAATGGACCTTTCTTAGAAAATAATGTTTCATTTATATCTTAATAACATTTTATATAACTTAATTACAATATCTTTTGATATCTTTTCTTTTATTTATAATAAAATAAATATTTAATTCTAACAAAATCTTTTAGAATCTTTTTTTAAAAATATATTAGATTTTAAAAAATAAATAGATATCAGTTCATTGTAATTAGAAAAGGACACAAGTGAAATTTATTCACAAGTAAAGTCGAGTTAGATAAAAATAGGAAAATGTTTTTGTTAGATTTGTGTTTCACTTAATGTTGGAATATGTGAATTGTTTTTATTAGTTTGTGTTAAAAATGAATGACATAAATTGTAATGTTATATGATAGACATATTTAAAGCTATGATTTATATGTTGTCAAAACGGGCTAGCATAGTACACTATATAATACATGTATACAAATTAGCATATCTTAATTTATATATATATATATATATACACACAACAATTTATTATTTAAAATTAATAAGTATAAATAATGAACATGTGGTTGACAAAAAACAATAAATAAATATTTAAACATACAAATATATGAAATTAAACACCCACTCGGTTGAGTGGGTCAAAATCTACTTTAGGAGTTAACACTTCAGTTTTAATAAGATAAATAGATAGATAGATATACACTTATCTTTTAAAATTTAATAAATATTTTTTTGATTTTCCTAGTTAATGGATATTTGGTTAGTAAATATACTATATAAGAAACTTGATTGTCACGTTTTAATATACAAACTAGATTTTGATCCGTGCTTGGGAAGCGCGAGTTTTGTTTTCGTTGTAACAAAATGTATCAAATGATTAGATTTGTATTATAAGATAGTTTATGTTTTAATGTGATGTATATTTAACCTTTTAGTTGGGTCTTTTCATTGAGTTATGTATGATCGAGTCAGTTTGTGGTTGAACAGAGAATTCGAAAATTAAGTGTTGTGAGAGTATGAAGAATTAAAACACATATTAGATGGTCCATTAAAACAAAACTTGGATGGGTCCATAGCCCATAAAAGTCCCAAAATTGAAAAGGCCCAAAATTTTATTACAAATTTGTAGTTAAATCCAATAAAAATGATCATTAGATTTTTGCATGCAGAAAAGAATTCGAAAAGAGTAATCATTGTTTGACGTGGATAAACGTAAAATGTCAAATCATTATGTCTTGGAAAGAACATCTTAGAAAGATCTTTATAAAAGAATCGTTTTGGAAGATGAGATATATGTCAATCATATCAGAAGTACAATTCGGAATTATCAAAACAAAATCATAACAAACTTCATTATAAAATTAAGATTAATAAATAAGAAAAAGATTTATTCAGAGAAAAGATATATTCAGAGAAAAATCGAAAAGTTGTTTAATTAAGAGAAAATATATATTCAGTATCTAAGCATTAAACTTCTAAAAAACAGAAAAATCTTTATAACATAATCTATAATAATAATAAATATAACTAAAACCATTATTTCTAAACAAATATAATCCTAAAACGCCTAAAAGATGAGTAAATCAAACAATAAATAAACAAATAAGGGTAGATCAAGCAATATTAAACATTAATAAAAAAGTTTTAAACAACCAGTATATAGTGTTCAAATTAAAAAAAAAAATATTAAACATAAACTTAAAAACTTAAGTTTGAGATTGAGATTTGTTAGATGTTCAGTCATACATCATTGGCTCACCCAACTTGAACCAATCGATAGTAGGAACCTGAACATCTTGAAGCTTGGCTTCGACAAGGACCAGCTCGAACTCTTTCATCATCTTCTCATGGTACATGGAAAAAGACCTTCACATTCATCAAGGAACTCAAGTTTTGCCTCAATGGGAACCTTATTGAGTTCCTCCTGGTGCCTTGCCTCAATAGCTTTACTCTGGTCACGATACATCAACAGCATAGCCCTATAACGCTGCATGGTCTCAAACCTGCCCCTCTCGTAAGCCTCCTTCACCGTTTCCCCTTCTTCCTCGATCATGTAACCTTTCATTTTTAGATCCTTGTTATCTGCCATTGAGATACTTCTCAATGTTCAAGAAAGAAAATATTAATTTTAGGAAACAAAATATAACAAATATGGAAATATAATAAACCATAAATATTTATTATGTTAGATGTAAGATCTAACATAAATTAACATAAAATATTTGTAACCCCAAAATATCTTCTATATTTATATCCTCTAAATTTAAAACACTTATAAAATATTCAGAGAATGGAACCTAAAACCGTAACTAATACTCTAACCCTAGAATGACAATATTCAATAAAAATGAGCAAAGAACCTAGCGACGTTTACTCCAGGCAGATGGTTCGAGACAGAACAACATCTCTTATATGCAAAAGGATAGAAAATATAAAGAAAGAAAATACCATTTTCCGATGAGAGAGAGTAAGATAAAGAGATATTATGGTTATTGTAGACAATTGAAGAGTCTTATATATATAAGAACTAAACCTAAACATTAGTGAGCCTAAAGGCTTAACATAAATAGGTAAGAAGACTAATAGTCCAAAATATATTAATAATTATGGAGCCCAACATAATTGCTTTGAAAAATTGCATCTATTTTTGAAAATGGATTAGATTAAAATTAATATGATTCGGTTAAATGCATGATTGTGTTCATTATGTGATTCTGTATATATAGAATGATTTGGTAGTTAAAATGTTATTATAAAATAATGTTTTCATATTGATAACTACTCAAATATTACTCTAAATCACCCTAAATCTTTCGGTTATCTAAATCAAACATTTATCTAAACCGCACCTAAAATATAAAAAATTAATCACAACAATCAAATAATAAAGATATACATGAACATAGATAGCCGAATAACATAAAAATCATTAGGTTCAGTTTAATACATCAAAATATTAAAAAAAAAAACAGGTTTTGTAAACCAGAACAACAGTTAAAAGGTTCATAGCCGCAACACCTTCAAACATAAGAGATGAGGATATAGATCACTTAACGCCATATTTGTGGCTCTCCTAGCATTTCCCAATCGAGATTGGAAACCTTCACATCAGAAAGACGGGCATGAGCAAGAGCAAGTTCCGTTTCCAACTTGTCCTTCACATGGTTCATAAAACCATCGTTGAAGAGGTCTTCAAAGAGTTCAAGTTTACCAGCAATGCGATACACCTCCACCTCAGCATCATAATTCGCAACGACGGCTTCATGGAACCTCCTGTACATGTTAAGAATCCTTCGGTAATGATTAGTCCTATCATTCATTCCAGACGTGTAAGCCTCTTGTAACATTGATCCATGAAACTGGTTGGCAGCCATACTTAAATCGTGATCTGCATGTTCATATAAATGGAAATTTTGTTAGAAAAAAGATGATGTATAACACCAACAAAACATTTAATTCTCAATGAAGACATTAAAAGAGAATATATATGAAAGATAACCATCAGTCATGACAGAAAACTTAACCAACCTATGGTAGATCTTATTAACTCTCTAGAACTGATCATGCATGTTGTTATGCTGCTATAATCATATACAAAATAAACAACATGTTTGGTTCAAAAATGAGAGATCTAAACAAATAGGAAACAAAGTTTGATTCCATATGAAACCGAGGACAAATCCTTCATCTACATGCAATGATAAAAACTAAGAAAAATATATCTTACAAAGCGTTTTCTTCTGGTTTACTGAGAGAAAACCAAAGAGAAAGACATTTTGATAGGAGACGGTAGAGATTCCACTTTATAGTTCCAGACTAAAAAAAGAGCTTTCTAGAGTTGCAACTCTTCATTTAATGACCTATATTTTTTTGTCGAAATTAAATGTATTTGCCATTATTGAGTTTTTATTTTTGCACGTTACCAATATTAAATAGAAAAACTTTAAATATTTTAAAATCTAGCATATTATGTGAATCTATGCCATATATATTGTTGTGAAATATATGTTCTTGGTATTATGGAAATAGTATTGATATAGAATGATTAGTCTCATCTTGTGAAAATCTACAGTTATCTCTTATGTGTGATCTCTTATGTATGATATTTTGAAAATGAGATTTCATATCTAAAATCGTAACAAACTGACTAATGACAATACATATATAATGTATTTTTATAATTAATGAAAAAAATATATTAACTGAAAATATAATTCTGATTCATTCTTGTTACACCAAGTATTTATTATTTGGTAGTTTTCTGTTTCAAAATGGTCAAATGTATAAATAAATTTTCCCTTATTATATCATAGTATATCAATATGTTTTATACAAAATTAAATATTTTTTCATATAAATAGATGAGTCAATAAATCGTCAAGAAAAAAGCAAATATTATTAAAAATGAAAACTATTGGGTGAAAACAAAACCCAATAAGTCCCAAAAACAGTTGACAAGAATAAAGTGTCTTACAATAACAAACTTAAACGGAAATGAAATGAGGATTATGAAAAATAAATCAAAACATAAACATGAGCTTCTTTCAACGGATCCAATGTTATCAATGTGGGATTCTCCATTTTAATCGGCTTGATATACGACTTTTTAGAGGTAGAAAGAAGCTCGGGTGCTTCCTTATCGTCTACTTTGCGCTTGGAAGAAGGAGTACAAACAATGTCATCACTCATACCTTCAAGATACATGGGATCCTACAGATTAAGGCCATATGATAAATATTAAAATACTTTTACGATTTGTAATCTCAATAAGACATTGATAATAATTTACCTCGATTGTTTGGGTTGGATGGGAAAAAGTTTCCGATATCTCACTTGTCATTAGCATACGTAGAATTTTCCAGACCTTCCCAACTTTGTAGCAGCCACCCGAAGCTGAGTCTTTCTGAACGTAGACTCCAAACATAAAAGTTTGTCCAATCAACTTTGTAATTGAATCGGGAAAAGGATCATCGTCTTCAATCTGTCAAGTTAAATATTTGATATAGTATTATTCATCACCCAATATGTAATAGAAATGATAAAGTTGAGAAGTACTAACTTCTTCACAAGAACCGTTTAGTAGAGTAGCAGCAGACTCGGAAATAACCACTACAACAAATATGGTTTTTCATAGCACACGGATAACGCTATTATATGGTATCCATAGCGGTTTTATAAATGCTATGAAATCGACCGCTATAATAGAGTCCCTATATACGATAGCGCTTTCGGAGGACGCTATCGTAGACTAGCCTTTAATAGCGTTTTGCTAATGCTGTGTTACGGTTATTTATTACACACTATTTATGCTATAGGAAATTATATAACAGCTGTATTTTTTTTGTTGTATTAAACCTTTTAATAGCAATTATTTAGTGCTGTTGTAAATTATGTAATAACATTTTTTTGTTGCTATATATTTTTGAAAAATAGCTATATTCTGTAGCCATCAATTACATTGTCGTAGCCTTAAATTGGTGCTACTTGATGATGTGTTGCAGCAGTGGTATTGAGTTATGTATATATGATTTATAGCTTTTTTTTTGTGATATCTAGTGAGTGTATCATAACATATTTCATATGTTATTTCGCCCAATAAAATAGATTTTACAAATACAATAAATGGTACACAAAATGCTCAAAAATAAATAAACAAAGACTGAAACTTCATAATAGAAATACCATATCATAAGTAAGTTCAAAAGTAAGAACACAAGTGTCATTTGCACTAAGTACCATAAGTTCATAAGTTCTAAAGCAATGAAAAGAGAAGACCATACGTTCCTATTCATCCTCACATGATGACAACTTTGTCTTCAGGCCACGCTATAGTGGTACCAATAGCATCCTCCATACACTCGATTGCAGATGTAGGCCTCCAAACCATGGCATCATCCACCTTGACTACATCAACCCACACACGAACAGCATTTTTCCCCAAAGGAACAAAATGCACTAACTGTTTTGGGTTGTTTGAAGACCAGCGTCCTTCTGCAACAACAACTTTCTGACCGGTAATGTCTAGCAGTTTGCATTTCTGACTTTCTTTCACAATCTGTGTATGAGAATGATGTCCATTAGTATAAGACATAGGAAAGCATTACCAACTTTATTAGATATATCAACACTACTTACCTTCCGAGAGCTTGAAGGAGTTTGTGCCACTGGTTTTGAAATCTTAGCAGGAGCCGGTGGAGTGTGTAGTTGTGAGTGCCTAAGAGGAGATGCTGTAGCTGGTGACTCAATGTCGAATAAAACTCTGCTGACAGGCCATGCTACATACGACTTCAAACAATCACCAAGGTTTGAGTGTTTTTCTGTTGGCCTCCAAAGAAAAGTCTGAGGTAACGTGACCGCATCTACATATACTTTCACAGCATTTGGTCCAAGAGGAAGGCCATCCACGAAGGCTTTGGGATCACGACTCTCCAAACGACCTTCAGCAACTGTTTCTTCATCCTGTGTTAACCAATGTAGAAGTTTGCAGTTGTTCTTCTCTACTGTCTCAGGGCTCTGTCAAAACAATAAATTCATCATTGGAAATACATTACTAGATTTTAGAAAACAGAAACTTAGACACCAAAATGAGATGAGGACTGAAAACCTTACTTTACCAAGAATGTCATCTGGATCGATCTCCTCCTCAAGAACAAGAAGAGAATCTTGAGGCCACGCAACTGTTTCTCCTACAGCCTGACAAATAGTGTAAATTTTCGGTGCCGGTCTCCAAAGAAATGCATCTACTTCAATAGCCGTCTCAACTACCACCTTAACTGAATTAGGGTCCAGTGGCACATTGTTAACAAACTCCATTTCATCAGAAGAGAGAAAACGACCCTCGGCTACTTTGCATTCCTTGTCACACCAATCATATAGGATACACTTAGGCTGCGGTGTCCTATTATTCGTCACACTCTACAAAGATTAATCAACACAACAGTTACATTCTGTTCAAGCTAGTTGAGCATGAATACGATTTGCACAAGTACTTACTCTTGGTGCTGAATTCTCACCCTCTTCCGAGTCTGGCCTCTGTAAGTAGGAAAAAAAAAAAGTTACCATTTTAAAAAGGAACATAATAATCAGAGG